CTGGGCCGTGCAGGAGGGTTGCGCCCGGGCGCCACCGCCCCGGCTGTCCTGAGGCGCTGATGAAGCATCCTTAACTTAATTAACCCAATTCACTTAATGAGAGCTTCTCTTCCTGCCCACTGGTCACAATACACAGCGCATGGGACACTGGGTCCACAAAAGGGGGAATATCGTGAATTCTCGTTAGCTCTTCCTGACCACCCTTGGAAGCGACGGGCTGTGTGGGGGAAGAGAGGGGAACATGGCTGGGAGGACGTCAGGCTGGACGAGTGGGAGCCTGGCGTCTGCTACTTCTGACTTCAACCCTTCTTGTCGCTGGAGAAAGGTGTGGGGATGACCCTCAGCTAACAATTTGGCCTTGGGAGTGAAATGACCACTGCTGTACTGCAGTTGAGACTCTCCCATAGCAGCTTTGTTTGATGAACAAAATGACTAACACTACTTCAGCTAAGAATTTTCCATGTAATCCGAATTTCAGGTAACAGGAAATCTTTAAAAGGTTAAAAGGCCCTACATCGTATCGTACTCTGGATGACTAGAAGTAACTTGAACGTATGAAACGGCTTTGAAGTAATCGAATTCCAAAAATGGTTAATTCCTCTGCATTCCCTGGCCTTTGTATGCTTGGCATGTGCTCCTGTGGAAAGCTGAGTGTCAGTGAGCGAGAAGGATCTCGTCACACAATTGTGTGTGTGGTGAGGGAAAATTGGAGTGAGCAGTGACTGAGTTGGACTCTAAACAGAACTGTGTAAAATGCATCAGACAATCAGACTAGCTAATGTATGAGGAGGCATTACTGCTCTACAGATTATTCCAGGAAATGCTCTGGGAAATTCTTGACCCAGAGAATGAGATAGCTGCAGTGCTGTGTATATTAGGGCAAAGCCAAAACAGTTGTCTGCCCTTTTAACTTAGGAGATAGAGTATACCGTCTGAAGTAGGCCTCTTTACTGCACAATGATTCATAGAAGAAAAACCTCAAGCATCTCAAGATAAAAAACATGTCAGTAAAAAACCCCAAAAGATCAGCAAGAGAGTGAACAAGCAACATATACTGATTGCTCTTACATGGACAGGTTTAACTGACAGGTAGTTGTAATTCTTAGTGGTCAGCTCACTAAGCTGTTTATATACCAGGGAGTGTCTTTGATGGATATGCTCATGGAAGCCAAAGGAGCTGCTGCTCATGTGAGCTTGTGTCTTGGAGCCTGGGGAGTTATGACCGTTTCTTTATGTGGCACTAAGTCAAGACGAGGTTAGACTTGAAAGGCTGTGAGAGAACCTCGAAAGTGTTCTTTACATCAATGAGGAGTTTGGGCTGGCAACCAGTAACAGTCCATTTCAAAATGAAAAATAATATCCAAAATTTGTCTCTTATTTCATCCAAATGTGTGTGGATGAGTCTGTAATCCTTTACCAGAATACTCCTGCTTGATGGGTATTGTGAGTGTTTGTAAATTGTATTGTGAGAGTTTGTAAGTTGGACCCATCTTTAAATTTTAAAGAATGCGTTTAGAACATGAATTCAACTTCGAGCTGTCTAATTGCACCAGAAATACACTACAATGTTTGAGGTCAAAATCTGACCCATCATTTCAGCATGTCCCACACTTCCAGGTTCAAATTCTTACTACTGTATGTAGACCTAGCTTTGTTGACTTCTGTGGAGCTAATACCAATTTACACACTTATTGCTGATGCCAGAATTTGCCTCTTAGCTCTCCTCTAGTAGGCAAGAGATGATCAACTTGTTGAAACACTTCTAGTGGAATTTACCTGTTGTGTACTGGATGTGTTCAAGAACGTGAGCTCTGTTAAAACTGGTAGCCAGGTCTTGGGAGTGCATGCATGTTTTATGTGGTTAGTCTGTTTTTCACTCTCTTGTCATGAATCCTGGAGTCACTTTTTTTACCTTACTTTCTCTTGAGTTCAAGGTCCTTTTACATTTTCATTGAATGGTCATTGCAGAATATAGTTACAAATCCAAAACTTATTATTGCTTCATTGAGACTGTAAAAAAAATAGTTGTAAAAAATGTATCTTCCAGTATCTGGAAGAACACTGATAATATTTTCATTTCTGTGAGTGTAAATATGGTCCCACGCCATTGTAGTTACTGACTCAGACTTAATTCATATGTTAATGATATCCTCAGGACTTGAATAATTAATTTCTATTGCAGTTCCATTCCTTTAATTGGTGATATATGCAGAATTAATTTCGACTTTTACACAGAATAATTTTATTTACTACATAAAGCCTTGAGTAAGAAATGTAAGAGCTTTTTATAAACGTCTGTGGACTTGAACAAACAGATTAATTTTCAGTGGGAAGGGTGTGACAAAGTATCAATAAAAGTATGGCTTCCAAATTGCCTATATTGGAAACAAAAACTGAGGAAATGTACAGTTGGATCTTCAACTTGTCTGAGCTCTTTAATAGCTCACATTTCATGCTAGAGATTATTTTTCTCTCTTCTTGCAGTCGGTATCCTCCTCAGCAGAAAGCTGAAGAGCACAGCGAATGGGATATCATATCATATCACAGAGTATTTCACATCCATAAGTATAATGGTAAAGTACAAGAAAGAAGAGCTTATCTGTTTTCTGTTTGCTGGATAAGGATTTGGTTGGACGGTCACATCCAGTGGTAAGCGGCTCGATGTCCTGATGGACGTTGGTGACAAGGGATGTCGTTCAGGAGTCTGTATTGGGGCCAGTATTTTTTAATGTGTTTATCAATGACATAGATGGAAGAATCAAGTGCAGTCGCAGCAAGTTTGCAGATGACACCAAGCTGAGTGGTGGAATTGACACACCTGAAGGCTGGGATGCCATCCAGAGGGACCTGGACAAGCTTGAAAAGCAAGTCCATGGGAATCTCATGAGGTTTAATGAGACTAAGTGCAAGGTGCTGCACCTGGGTTGGGGCAGCCCCCAGTATCAATACAGGCTGGGGGATGAACAGATGGAGAGCAGCCCTGCTGAGAAGGACTTGGGAGTGCTGACTGATGAGAGTCTGTGCTTCTACTCTGCTCTGGTGAGATCCCACCTGGAGTTCTGCATCCAGATCTGTGGTCCTCAGCACTGGAAGAACATTGACCTGTTGGAGGGAGTCCACAGGAGGGCCACCAATTTGCTTAGAGGGATGGAGCACCTCTCCTATGAGGAAAGACTGAGAGAATTGGGATTGTTCAGCCTGTAGAAGGCTCTGGGGTGACTTTATAGAGGCCTTCCAGTACCTGAAGGGAGCCTACAAGAGAGCTGGAGAGAGACTATTTACAAGGGCATGCAGGGATAGGAAAAGGGGTAATGGCTTCAAACTGAAAGCGGGTAGATTGAGATTGGATACTAGGATGAAATTCTTTACTCCATCCCTGGAAGGCCGTGTTGGATAGGGCTTTGAGCAACTTGATCTAGTGGAAGGTGTACCTGCCCATGGCATAGGGGTTGGAACCAGATGATCTTTAAGGTCCCCTCCAACCTAAACAATATACAATTCTATGGTACCTACCATGATAACAATATGCAAATTAGATAAAGAATCAATCAGTGTGGTTTCAAGTGTGGTTTGATTCTAGGGCAAACAACAAAGAAATGCAAAATTGGTGTGATAGAAGAATTGAAGTTTTCTCTAGATAAGACCTTCTGTCTAGAATCTTTTGATAATGTTATTCCTTGGAATGCAGAAAGAATTTGGGGTTTTTAAAGTTACATAAATGCA